ATGTTTCTTGTTCTTTGTTTCATTAATGTATTGATTGATTTGCAGTTGTTGAACCAACCTTGCAGCCCAGGGATAAATCCCACTTGGTCATGGTGAATAATCCTTTTAATGTACTGTTGGATCCTATTGGCTAGTATTTTGGTAACAATTTTTGCATCCATGTTCATCAAGGATATTGGTCTGTAATTCTCCTTTTTGATGGGGTCTTTTTCTGGTTTGGGGATCAAGGTAATGGTGGCCTCATAAAACGAATTTGGAAGTTTTCCCTCCATTTCTATTTTTTTGGACAGTTTCAGAAGAATAGGTATTAATTCTTCTTTAAATGTTTGGTAGAATTTCCCTGGGAAGCCATCTGGCCCTGGGCTTTTGTTTGTTCGGAGATTTTTGATTACTGCTTCAATTTCCTTAGTGGTTATAGGTCTGTTCAGGTTTTCTATTTCTTCCTGGTTCAGTTTTGGTAGTTGATACATGTATAGGAATGCATTCATTCCTTCCAGATTATCTAGTTTGCTGGCATATAGGTACTCACAATACCGTGAACATTTTTTGACCAACAATATGAAACTAGAGGTCAACCACAAGAAAAAATCTGGAAAGACCACAGATACCTGGAGGTTAAACATCATACTACTAAACAATGAATGGGTCAACCAGAAAACCAAAAAGGAAATGAAAAAATACACTGAAACAAATGAAATGAAAACACAATGGTCGGAAACTTTTGGGATGTGGCAAAAGGTATTCTAAGAGGAAGTATAAAGCAATAGAGGTCTACCTCAAGAAGCAAGAAAAATCTCAACCTAACCTTACACCTAAAGGAGCTAGAAAAAGAAAAACAAATGAAGCCTAATGCCAACAGAATGAGGAAAATAATAAAGAGCAGAAATAAATTATATAAACTCTAAAACAAAAACAAAAACCAGAACAGATCAATAAAACCAGGAGCTGGTTCTTTGAAAAAATTAATATTAATAAAACTCTAGCCAAACTTGTCAAAAAAGAAAAGAGAAAGGACCCAAATAAATAAAATCACAAAGGAGAGGGGTGCCTATGTGGTTCAGTTTTAAAGTGGTTAAGTGTCTGCCTTTGGCTCAGGTCATGATTTCAGTGTCCTAGGATTGAGCCCTGCATCAGGCTCCCTGGTCAGTGGGGAGTCTGCTTCTCCCTCTCCTTCTCCCTCTCCTTCTCCCCCTCCCGCTGTGCGCTCTCTCTCTAATAAATAAAATTTATTTAAAAAAATCACAAAGGAGAGAAGAGAAATAACCAACACCACAAAAATATAAACAATTACTAGAGAATATTATGAAAAATTATATGCCACAAATTGGACAATCTAGAAGTAGATAAATTCCTAGAAACCTATAAATTACCAAAGCTGAAACAGGAAGAAACGGAAAACTTGAATAGACCTATGACCAGCTAAGATACTGAATCAGTAATCAAAAACCTCCAAACGAATAAAAATCCAGGGCCAGTTGGCTTCACAGGGGAATTCTAAGGAACATCTAAAGAAGAGTTAATACCTATTCTTCTCAAACTATTCCAAAAAATAGAAAAGGAAGGAAAACTTCCAAATTCATTCTATTGGGCCAGCATCACCCCGATATCAAAACCAGATAAAGACTTCACTAAAACAGAGAACTACTGGCCAATATCCCTAATGAACATGGATGCCGAAATTCTCAATAGAATACTAGCAAACCAAATCCAACAATACCTTAAAGAAATTGTTCACCACGATCAAGTGGAATTTATTCCTGGGTTTCAAGGGTGGTTCAATATTCAGAAATCAATCAGTGTGATACACCACATTAATAAAGAATAAAAACCATATGATTATTTCAGTAGATGTAAAAAAAGCATTTGTCAAAGTACAACATCCATTCATTTTAAAAATTCTCAACAAAGTAGAGTTAGAGGGAATATACCTCAATATAATAAAGGCCATCTGTGAAAAACCCACAGCTAATAATCATCCTCAATGGAGAAAAACTAAGGGCTTTTCCTCTATGGTCATGAACAAGACAGGGATATCTTTTCCCACCACTTTTATTCAATATGGTACTGGGACTCCTAACCACAGTAATCAGACAACAACAACAACAAAATAAAAGGCATGCAAATCGTCAAGGAAGAAGTCAAACTTCGCTATTTGCAGATGACGTGATATTCCATATAGAAAACCTGAAAGACTCCACAAAAAAACTGCTGGAACTGATAAAGTCAGTAAAGTGGCAGGATACAAAATCAGTGTACAGAAATCTGTTGCATTTCTGTTAATAAATAATGAAGTAGCAGAAAGAGAAGTTAAGGAATCAATCCCATGTACAGTTGCACCCAAACCAGTAAGATACCTAGGAATAAGCCTAACCAAAGAGGAGGAAGACCTGTACTCTAAAAACTATAAAACATTGATGAAAGAAATTGAAGATGACACAAAGAAATCGAAAGACATTCCATCCTCATACATTGGAAGAACAAATATTGTTAAAAATGTTTTTTTAACCAAAGCAATCCACACATTTAATGCAATCCCTATCAAAATACCACCAGTAATTTTCACAGAACTAGAATAAACAATCCTAAAATTTATATGGGACCACAAAAGACCCCAAATAGCACCCCCCAAAAAAACCTTGAAAATAGAAAATCAAAGCTGGAGGCATCACCATTCCGGACTTCAAGTTATATTACAAAGCTATAGTGATCAAGATAGTATGATACCAGCACAAAAATAGACACATAGACCAATGAAACAGAATTGAAACCCAGAAATGAACCCACAACTATATGGCCAACTAATCTTCAGCAAAGCAGGAAAGAATATCCAATGGGAAAAAGACAGTATCTTCAATAAATGGTGTTGAGAAAACTAGACAGTGACATGCAAAAGAAACTGGACCACTTCCTTACACCACACACAAAAATAAACTCAAAATGGATGAAAGACCTAAATGTCAGACCAGAAACCAGAAAAATCCTAGAGGAGAACAGAGGTAGTAACCTCTTTAATATCAGCCATCTCCTTTCTAGATATGTCTCCTGGAGCAAGGGAAACAAAAGCAAAAATAAACTATTGGGGTTTCAGCAAATTGAAAGCTTCTTCACAGTGAAGGAAACAATCAACAAAACTAAAAGGCAACCCATGGAATGGGAGAAGATATTTGTAAATGACATCTGATAAGGGCTAGTGTCCAAAATATATAAAGAACATATAAAACCCAACACTTAAAAAATGAATAATGCAATTTAAAAATGGGAAGAAGACATGAACAAACATTTTTCCAAAGAAGACATACAGGTGGCCAACAGATGCATGAAAAGATGCTCAACATCACTAAACATCGGGGAAATACAAATCAAAACTACAATGAGATATCATCTCACACCTGTGAGAATGGCTAAAATCAACAAAACAAGAAAAACAGGTGTTGGTGAGGTTGTGGAGAAAGGGGGGACCCTCTTGCACTGTTAGTGGGAATGCAAACTGGCACAGCCACTGTGTGAAAAACAGTATGGAGGTTCCTCAAAAAGTTAAAAATAGAACAACCCTGGGGCGCCTGGGTGGCTCAGTCGTTAAGCGTCTGCCTTCGGCTCAGGTCATGATCCCAGGGTCCTGGGATCAAGTCCCACATCAGGCTCCCTGCTCGGCGGGAAGCCTGCTTCTCCCTCTCCTACTCCCCCTGCTTGTGTTCCTGCTCTCGCTATCTATCTCTCTTGTCAAATAAATAAATAAAATCTTTAAAAAAAAATATAGAACAACCCTGGGGCATCTGGGTGGCTCAGTTGTTAAGCATCTGCCTTTAGCTCAGGTCATGATACCAGGGTCCTGGATTGAGCCCTGCATCCAGCGCCCTGCTCAGCCGGAAGGCTGCTTCTCTCTCTCCCACTCCCCCTGCTTGTGTTCCTTCTCTCGCTCTCTCTCTCTCTGTCAAATAAATAAAATCTTAAAAAAACACAGAACAACCCTATAATCCAATAATTGCATTACTAGGTATTTACCCAAAGGATATAAAAATACTGATTCAAAGGGATACATGCACCCCTATGTTTATAGCAGCATTATCTCCAGTAGCCAAATTATGGAAACAGCTCAAGTGTCCATTGACTGATGAATGGATAAGGAAGATGTACTATACTCTGGAAAATTACTCTGCCATCAAAAAGAATGAAATTTTGCCATTTGCAATGACATGGATGGAGCTAGAGGGTATTACGCTAAGTGAAATAAGTCAGCCAGAGAAAGACAAATACCATGATTTCACTCACATGGAATTTAAGAAGCAAAACAAATGACCAAAAGGGAGAGAGAGAGAGGGAGGGAGGGAAACAGACTCAACTCTAGAGAACAAACTGATGGTTACCAGAAGGGAGGTTCGTGGGGGGATGAGTTAAATAGGTGATGGGATTAAGGAGTTCACTTGTGATGAGCACCTTGTGTTGCAGGAAGTGTAGAATCACTATACTGTACACCTGAAACTAATGCTACACTGTATATTAACTAACTGGGATTTAAATAAAAACTTAAACCCTAAAACCCCACATATCATCATCAGTTCTCTAGAATCAGCAATGCAGTTGTTCTACTAAATTTACAACTCTAAATCCAGTGTGCAAGACCATAGTTTTCAATTATTTCTTTTCCGCTGACTTAGAGATAATCATGATTTTATCAAGTGTTGGATATTTTTTATCAGGGGAGCAGGTGATTTAGAGTCATTATTTTTACATTAAAATGAACCCTTGTATTTTCTTTTACTACACCGGGTAATTGGTTCAGATATGGTGGAAATAACAGTAAGCCAGACTTTCTGGCAGACTTTCTGGCTGTCTAGACCTTCGGGTCATTGTTGTTAAATGCTGGTTTGATTTTAGTGATTCAGATTCAGGGGTATTTGCAAACTCAAACAGGTGCCCTAATGAGTCATGTAGTGTCCATATAATATTTTTAGCATGATGTTAAATGAGTCTGTAGTAAAGAAAACATTCTTTTTGTACAGGTACAGATATGAAAAGTATTCTCCTTTCTCTAATTCCACTCTCAGCCTCTCTCCATGTCTCTTGGAGTCAGACAGTCAATTACCTCTCTCGGTTATAGAAAAATCACAATCCAAAAGAAATGATGGTAAGATGATTTTTTTTTACTTGACTAAGAAAGCTTTTAAAAAAGAATTAATATGTGCTTTAGGATGGACAAAAATTTCTGTGTTTTTTTTTTTCTGTCAAAAGCTTTACTATCTAAATTGGGTTATTATAGTGTCATAAAAAGTCCTAGAATATAAGGCAGTATATGATGAGATCCTAAGAGAATATGCAGAGATTCAAATCTTATGGAAAGGGGCATTAATTGCCAGTGACTGAGAAAAGGTCCCAGTGGTTCCAAATAAGGTGGGCCATCGAATAAGGATAAAACTAGCTTGGCATGTACAAATCTCAGTCCATTGCTCAGCTATAAAATATATTTTTCCCCCGATCTCAATTGAAAATCTGTGTCCATCCCCTTTTCATCAGAATGACAAAAATTTAATCTCAATTTGTCCCTAACCTTCACCCTTTCCCCAAGGGTTGCTTGCATTCTGGGGAGCTTACATAATAGCAAAGGGGGTGGTTGTGGGAGGGGCCTCTTGGTGTTATCAGTCCCTGGTCAACTTAGATATTTAAAATCCCTCTGGCCTCAGTGTTTGGTCATACATGTCATTTTAAGGCCATCCTATGTCTACCTTTATGTCCTTTTTAGCACAGCAGCTCTCTCTAATGTGGAAGTGACAGTCTTGGAAACTTGGAAATAGTTCTCTTTTCCACACAAGACAGGATGCAGGGAATTTTGTTAGAATCTCTAGAGTTCCGTATGGCTGACCCATATTCCATATCAATGCATTGTGTGAGCCACCCTTGGGAACATGGGAATCCTCTGGAAACCCTTTGAGGAGTCAAAAGCAGGGCCACAGTGTACAACCGTCTCATCTTTTGGGTCTTGATACCTTCCTGGGCTCTACCTGGCCATGGTGGCACAGCTTCTCCCTGCTCATGGAGTCCACACATCTACCCACAAGTGTCTGCCATGTCTCCAGGATGCTACAGAGACAGGAGCCCAAATGCCCTCTCTCTACTGCCCTTCAGCATTGACATACTCTGCGCTTCCTCTTCACCACTCCCACCTCACTCCCTGCTCCTAGCCTCCGGATTGATTTCTTTATAGGCAGTGTGGAAGCTTCTCTTTTATCTACCTGTTAGTCATGCAAATCTTTTATTTATATCATAAAACCTTTAATTTCCCCTAATATCCTCAGTGCTTTCTTTGAGATGTCTTTTTCCTGAGCAGTGAACACTTGAAGTCTGGTTATTTGAATGAAGGGAAGGGCCAGAGGATTAAAGGAAATCTAGAAATATGAGGGGAGGAGGTAGGGAAGATGTAATCATGTAAAAAGTTTACCCCATCCCGCTGTATGAAAAGAAGTAGAAAAACACCCTGGAAGGAGAGGAGAGTATAAGAGGAGGGTTTGAAGATGTTTTGTTTTTGTTTTTGATAATCACAAAAGATGTAATATAATTGGCAATACAACTAATTAGGAAATATTTAAACCTTTAATATTAAGAGAAACATATGGTTTAGAGGCAGGAATTAAAATGTTTTTAGTGGGAAGAGACAAGTTATTAGACAGGTATACAGTATAAGACTCACAACTCAATCTTTTTCTTTCCTTTAAATGAGGTCTTGCTCCCTTACAGTCATAGACTTATGTGGACATCAGCCATAGTGGACACAAAGTTCATCCTAAAAATGATAGTGGGGTAAATATAGGGCTCTTCCCAAAAATGCTCCCTGTACAACTCCCATTCCCCCCACAACACTGGAGAGCAGAGCTGTCCAACAGAATTCTCTGCGATGGTGGAAATGTTCTATATCTAGGTTGGCTGATACAGCAGCCATTAGCCACATGTGACCATTGAGTACTGTAATATAGCTAGTGTGACTGAGGAACTGAATTTTTAATGTTCTGTAACTTTAATTTACATTTCAGTAGCCACATGTGGTGTGTGGTTACTATACTGGAAAGCACAGATCTAAGATGTCTTCCCCTATCTATAAGACTTCCCTACCAGCAAGCTTCTTGGAGTCACACAAATGTTAGGAGTAGAATTGATATTAGAATTAGGTTTTTTTTTTTTTTTTTAGAAAAGGAATTAACATTATATTTGGGGGGAGTGAATGGAAATCCACAGAAGATAAATAAAAAAATGCTTGGTCACTTGGCTACATTTCCAGAAGAGGCAGAGTTAGGAAGCAGCAAGACTACACACACGATAGTCTGGTCTGTCACACAGTCTGACTCATCTGCACAAGAGAATTCACCTCAGTTCTAAATAACCCATATTTTACCTTCAGATTTTACTTTAAGGGCTACTAATAAGTGGAAATAACTCCTACCTCATAGGATTATTAGGAGAATTTAATTTTAAAAATGCCTGCCAATCACTTAGCCCCGTGCCTGACAGAAAGGGAGCATTCAGAAGTGGTGATTGTTGGAGATAGAAAATATTATCGCTTTTATTAAAGTGATTAAACTCTTCAAAGTGTATTTCACTTGTGATATGGGAGTTAATTCTCCAGCTTCACGTGGTTATATCAAGATATGACTTCTACAAAAGCATTTAAAAATTGTTAGCTTTGAATTTCATTCTAAGAAGACTGCCGAAAGGTTCTTTCCGTTCGAAGAGTTATACTACTAAAGCATATAGGGTTTTAAATTTTTATGTGAAATTAGTTTCCTTAACATGAGCCCTAAAAATGGTTATTCACTGTCAAACAGTTGTGATGCTGTCCAAAGTTGAAGTATCACCCATATAAAATTTTGGATTTCAGATAAAACTTGGTCAGCAATAAAATTACAAGTGATTTCTGTTGAAAAATTGAAAAGTTTAAAGATTAAGGGGAGAAAATCCTTCATTCAAAATTTTGTGTTTTGTTTCAGACAGGATATTGAATGTTATTGGAGCATAGGAATTCAAAGAATTCAGTGTAAATATAGAACAAAAAAGAGAAAATAAGAAGCAAGGCATCAGAAAGAAGAATCAAAAGAGTTCCTTGATCAAAATCTCTGGGGTATTTACATTGCCTAAAACATTGAAGCCAAAATATTTTCCAAACTTGCTCTGACTCCTATCAAATTATGTCTATTGGAAATTTCACTTTTACATCCTAATCCAATTTTAGGACAGCTTGTAGAAATGCAGAATAAATATTTAACTTTGATACTGACCTAATTTCATTCCTCTTATTCACTTTCCTTTCAAGAATGTGAAATGGATGCCGGCTCTTCCATGTGGGTTTATGTTTTCCTGGGGAACCTTCTTCGTGGAATTGGGGAAACTCCTATTCAGCCTCTAGGCATTGCCTACCTTGATGATTTTGCCAGTGAAGACAATTCTGCTTTCTATATTGGTAAAGCCTACCTCATTCATCTTCTTGGGAAGCAGGGTACCTGGTTTTCTCAACTCCATTCCAAACTAAATAGAGCATGGAAGGTTTTATCCTTCAGATCCAGTTCCTTTTTTGAGTTCACACGTTTCTGAGGTCCACACTGAGGATTTGGATGATGAAGAAACTTGAATTAGAAGGACCAATTGCATTCGGGAAAGAACATCAGATTAAAAGGAAATAACTGGAAGATCAACTGCCATGATGTATGACTTTGTGCAAATATCTTCCTGGACTTCAGATTTCATAGGTTCTTTTTACTGGGTTAACTGTACTCCTGAAGCATTTAGGTGTCATTTATATTCATTTTTTTATTTTGTTTCCAGAGCCCTAGAAACTACTTCCCATCTTTTAAGCCCTGACTATTTAAAGCATTTTCTTCCTGTGAGGGGTAGGCAAGGAATTCTGAGTTCTCAATAGCAAATATGAATGGATAAAAACACAGAAAGGATGAGAGCAGCAGCTAAAATCATTCTCTCTCTCTCTCTCTCTCTCTCTCTCTCTCTCTCCAGCAAACTCAAATTCCAAGGCCAGATGCATCTAAGTAGCATTTATGGAGTACCTCTTGAGTCTTGGAAACTAAATTTTTCTCCATTTCACACATCAGTCTTGATTTCTTGGGGCTCTGATCTTTTGAGGGCCTGGCCTTCAAGGGATAGAGGACAAGATTTAAATTCACTGAGAGGGGCTGGGACTAGCTCCACAGTATAGTTCTACCCTGGCCATGTGCACAGAACTCCAGAGGGCTCTCATTACAGTCAGGCAGGCTGTGATTAAAAACAGGTTACCTGCTCTGATGGAAAACTGCAGCGTAGATCAGGACCTGGAACAGAAGCTCCATCACATGTGCTAGGCAGTTATTCTGGGGACTGGAGGAAAGGTTGCAAGCCAAGAGATGCATGCAGGTGTCAGGGTGTCCCCTTCCTGCTCTCTCTCTTCACCACCTCTTCTTTTCCAGAAAGGATCTGGTAACTGCCATTTACTCCTCCTCTTAATTTAAATTAATCTGCCAGGGATATGTGTGCATCAAGCTGTGGTGAAATGAAAAGGCAGATGGGCCATACAGCTACATTTCTGATACCCAGGAACGGTGTTGTTTAAGCAATCTGCTCTAGTTTCCTGTTAATGCTGCCCAGGCTGGTCATGATTGTTTCCAAGAGCACCTCTCTGTACTCGCAGGTCTAGCTCCTTGGCTGGCTGTGTTCAGGGATCTGCATAGCTACTGCTCTCACATGGTCCCACAGACTCTCTGAACGCATGCACTTTTGGTCTAAGGTGGAAGAAATCAATTTTAATGTCAAAATAACTCTTATGCTTAACCAACCATGAAAAGTTTTTGAAAGACTGTCAAAATAGTATAATTCTGTTTTTTTTGTTTTTGTTTTGTTTTGTTTTGTTTTACTCCTTTTACTCCTAAGGAGTAAAGTTTGCTCCATTTGGGGGAAATTACTTTCTTTAGAATCTTGGTGTTATTTCCTTACTAAGAGGTAATTAATGCCTTCCAAGTGTTCATTGTTCTTCCAAAGCTGAGAAGGACTTATTTCCTGATTCAATAAGGTTGAAAAATTGACAAATTAAACACACTTAAATGAAGAGTTGATGAGATATTTTCAGCTACTAACTGGATCTCACTCCTATTTCTTGTTTAAAAATTTATTAATTTACAAAAGCGGAGAAATGCCGCTTTTTTTTTTTTTTTTTTGGGTGCAGGGTGTGTGCAGACGGTTGCAATTGTAGGACCGATCTTTGGCTTCCTGCTAGGCTCATTATGTGCCAAACTGTATGTTGACACTGGCTTTGTAAACCTAGGTAAGAAAGTTTATTTTTATTTATTTATTTATTTATTTATTTATTTATTTATTTATTTATTTATTTATGTCACTGCAATTTTTTTAACGGGGATGGTGTAGAAAATATCAAATTCCCTTTTCATAAAGTTACAGGATGGTAATCTTTCATAAAATGAAAATAATCCACTGAAAATTTGTCATTGATCTAATCACTGCATGCTTTAATAAATGGAATATGAAAAATAGGCAGTGGTTAGAACTGGATGACCCATGGTTTGTTATTCAGATGTATCATTTTTCACTTCTGGTTTGCCACTTCAAATGCATTCCAGCATAGTTAAGACTAAAAACTGTGGCTTCTTGTTGGCTCTTGTTGGTTCAGGTGTAATAACAAGACAGACACATCAATTGATAATCTATTTTGTAGACTTGCCAGGAAGACCAAGAATTGAAAGTGTTCTGGCAACCAAAATATGTTCTTTACTGTACAAATCTTTTTTCAGGTGGAGGCATATTAGAGTGTGTCTACCTTATTCTCTGGGAGAGTACTTGTGGAGGGAGTAAATGGGGGACCTCATCTTTCCATAGCTATTAATGTGTTCCTGTCCTTGTGAGATGTACCTCCTGGATATGGACATTTACTTTTCTTCCTTTTTTAAGAAATTCAAGAAAGCAGTTAGAAACAAGAAAACAAGTTTCAGCTTTAAAAATTCTGAAACTGCATTTTGAAGTCCTCATGTGTTAAAATTAAATGCAAAAACTCTTGCACCAATTTTTCTTTTTTATCAAATAAACTACAAGACACATTCTAAAAATTTTATTTATTCATTCATTTATTCATTAACCTCATTAATTTTGCATCTATTCTATCCCAGGTGCTGTTCTACCACAAAATGGTGAATAAAATGGAAGTTGAGTATCTTGACTTCCTGAGGTTTTAAAATCCAGTCATGGAGATTGATTCAGATAAGAAAGCATAGGTGTGATGAGTGGTACAGAGGGAAATTGTTAAGGGAAGCAGTGAAGATGCAGTGATGAGCCAGTGTGAACATTTTACCAAGTATAATGTGGCAATTGGGCCTAGTTGTCAAAGGATATGTGTTTATTTCATTGTTCTCACAGAGTGCCGTGGAGGTAGATCTATCATATGTTTTATGGGTTCTTATATAGAAAAGAAGAAAAAAACACTTGATTTGGTTCAAAAAACTGCATCACTACTTACCTTTTCGTCAAATAAGAAATGGTGTCAAAGATAAAGTTTTGATGATGAATAAGACATTAACATTTTATTTATATATACAAATCTTGCTTCAGACCTAGATTAGCTCTGAAGTATTACTGTCATTTAGTGACTAACATTCTGAATGTTTTAGACTAGATTGGGACCAGAGGGTGTAGGATATAACTCTTTCTTTGAGAAAAATCTTGGACAGACATTCAATATGTGGACCAGATGCAAGTGGTGCTTATGTGGGGGAGTTGGCAAAAGGCTTAGAGCCCCCATAATTCTCCCTCATAAGGTGCTTGCTTCCTGTCATGGGCCAGGGGGTCCCTCTGCAGAACCCCCAGGGCAAAGTAAGACCCCCTCCCCCAGGATTTAGACTCTATATTTTAAATGTAAGGAACAAATGAAGAAAAGCATCATGGGGCGCCTGGGTGGCTCAGTTGCTTAAGCGACTGCCTTTGGCTCAGGTCATGATCCCGGAGTCCTGGGATCGAGTCCCACATCGGGCTCCCAGCTCAGTGGGGAGCCTGCTTCTCCTTCTGACCCTATCCCCTCTCATGCTGTTTCTCTCTCTCAAATAAATAAATAAATAATTAAAAAAAAAAAGAAAGAAAAGCATCATGTTCTAGAAAAAAAGCACCATGTTTCCCTCAAAAAGCAAGATGATGATAATGTTCAGACTAGAAAGTTATCATGCATGAATTATTAGGTATTTTTATGATGTGATAGAGCTGATGCTAGGATTTTTTAAAAAATAAGCTTATTTCAACTCACTGGCTTTGCTGTATATGCTATTTAGCCATCCTCTCTGTCTTTCAGATCATGTAACCATTACTCCAAAGGATCCGCAGTGGGTAGGAGCCTGGTGGCTGGGTTACCTAATAGCAGGAATTGTAAGTCTTCTTGCAGCTCTGCCTTTCTGGTGTTTACCAAAGAGTCTGCCGAGACCCCGAAGTAGAGAGGATTCCAATTCCTCCTCTGAAAAATCCAAGTTTATTATGGATGATCATACAGAATACCAAACACCTCTTGGAGAAAAGTCAAAAATAATGGAAATGGCAAGAGGTGAGCCAGATTCTCCTTGATTTTGAAGCACTTTCAGTTTTCCTGTCGAGATTCTGTAAGGGATATATAAATAATACCCCTCTCTCCCCATCATTTGTTCAGAAAAATTGAGAAACTATACAGGAAGCAGAATTGAAGATTACAAAGTCAGCTTTATTACTGGAGAGGGATTAAAGATCATGACCCAAAGTTTTGGTAACATTCCTTGCTGACATTCCCACCCTTACACTACAGGTTAGACCTGGCAATGGCTCCTATCTGGGATTGCTGCTTCGCATCAGTCTGGGTGGACAGAAAAGAGTGCATCTTCAGAGCTTGTGGCCTTTTAACAGATGAGATTCAGTCATTTGACAAATGTGTCAGTGCATGCTTCCCACTGTTGATCAAAGGAGTGAGTGTGGTGCAGGGCACAAGGCCAGACATATTAACATGAATTCCTTTCACATGGAAAAAGAGTGGCCATGAGAAAGAATGGTCCCCCTCAGTTGGGCCAAGCAAGCAATATTTACAGAAAAATCTTCACATTTCAAACTCTTCAGCTGCATAATAGGAAGAAGGGAGAATGCCAAAGCTCATTTCTTACATTAAGTTCATTAAATTAAACGGAGATAATGTTCATGTTTTTTTCTCTGTGACCATGACGCAAGTTTGAAGAGGAGAGACCAGAAAACTGAAGTTCTAGGTGTCCTACCAATGACTTTCAGCTCCACAGGGAGAGAGTATTCTTGTCCCTCTTTCCTTCTACCCATATCATTGGGAGGAACATGTGTCTGTCTGACTCACACCTCTAAGTGTAATCTAAATTATATGCCTGTAGAAGCTAGTGCCTGTGTCTAGATATGAACCTGACAGATCTCAGCCTTGACGTGTGCCAATGCTTCATATCCATAGTGTATATGGGCACCACGCTCTAACTGTGGCAGTGGGACTCGGCCAGCTCTGCCCTGGTGCCAAGGCTGTGTCTTCTGCTAAGGGTAGTGCTGTCTTTAATTACTCCATGTTATTTTTGTCTTACAGATTTTCTTCCATCGCTGAAGAATCTCCTTGGAAATCCACTGTACTTGTTATATTTGTGTGCCAGCACCGTTCAGTTCAATTCTTTGTTTGGCATGGTGACCTATAAACCCAAGTACATTGAGCAGCAGTATGGGCAGTCATCCTCTAAGGCCAACTTTGTTATCGGTATGCTCACCTGTCCTTCACGCTTGCCAGTAGGCACTATCAGCTGCATCTTGTTAACCCTTAGGCATTTAGGCATTCTCATGTTTAGACTGAAGGTGATTTATGACATTTTAGATATGAAGTCAAAAAGTGAGTGAAAAAAATCTAGCAGAGTGAAAAAAATCCAGTTAAAATACTGAGGTTGTCTGTGGTACAATTTTGCAGCAAGAATTATTCACAACTGTAAGTGAGTGACCTTAAGAATATTATGTAAACCGAACGTGCATTTTATTAGGAGATTGTGATACTGGGTATGTGTCTTTCAAGTGTAACCAAAACTTCCTAACAGTGGCCTTTTTACCTGAACAGTTTCTAGGATCATAAAAAGTGAGTATTCAGAGAGGTTAAAAGGTGTTCATTGCAAAACAAAGTTTGTTTTTGCTCGGAGTTAAAGGACTTTCCTGAGTCCTGGTATTCAGGTTATTTAAAAGGGCTTTGTTTCTAGCATAGCAGATCAGTCAACAATGAAAAAGCTATTGAAGGGCAAAGAAAAGCATGAAGAAATGAATGAAGAAGAACCAGAATGTGCAAATACATGAACATCATGCTCCAAGTAATTGGATACATTTAAAACCTGGATTAGCTCCTTTAGTCCATGAGAACATCATTTTTTTTTTTTTTTTACTGTTGTAGGACCATCTTTTTTTTTTTTCTTATGTTAATCCCCATACATTACATCATTAGTTTTAGATGAAGTGTTCCATGATTCATTGTTTGTGCACAACACCCAGTGCTCCATGCAGAATGTGCCCTCCTCAATACCCACCACCAGGCTAACCCATCCTCCCACCCCCCTCCCCTCTAGAACCCTCAGTTTGTTTTTCAGAGTCTATCGCATGAGAACATCATTTAATGCTTCTGTTTAAAGGCATATTTTATTCCTTGGGACATATTCCTTAATGGTAGGAAAATCCAAAGATTTAAAAACATTTCTTCTTCATAAAATATTTTAAAATTGTTCTATGTCTCGGTCTCTGGAAGAGGCCTCTGAGCTTATTTCAGAATCTATAACTGTCCTGTAAGAATCCTGGTTAATGGACACTTAGTAGGTGCTAATTTAATTGACTATTCAGACTGTTCTGCTAAATTATAGATATTAAAGCTCTACCACTCAACTTTTACTTTCAACATTAATTGGTTCAAATTGATTTAATTGTATGATTTAATGGTTGACCTGAAGAAACATTTTAGGTTTCATTCCCCCAAAACCCCCTCCATGCCAATCAGTGCTTTATACTGACTTTAACAAGAATAGAAGAGAAATAAAAGCTTAGGAGACATTCTTTTTATTTTATTGCAAAATCTCCTTTGTGTTTATTGAGCTATAACTTACAAACAATAGTTAACTCTACAGCGCCTAAATGTGTAGCTCAGCTGGATAAATGTTAAGACAAAAATCTGTATAGTAACTATCAGCTAGAACATGGAACTCATTTCAGAACCACAGAGGGCTCCCTCAAACCTCCTCCTGTTCCATACACTTGCCCAATGCTAATAATTATCCTGAACTTTGTCATCACAGGTCAGCCTTGCTGGTTTTTGAACTTTATACAAATGGAATAGTATGCTATGTACTCTTTTGTATCTAGCTGATTTCAGTCAAAGTGAAACCTATGAGATTATTCATGTTGTGTATAACAGTTTGATCTTTTCCATTGCTGTGTCATATCCTATCACATGAATATACCACAGTTTATTCATTTTATTGTTGGTGGGCATTTGGGTTGTTTTCTGCTTTTGACTATTATAAATAACACTGCATGACCATTCTATTTGTATTTTGGTGGTTGTATACACAACGTTTTTCTTGGCTGTATCTTGGAGCAGAATTGCTGGGCCATAGGAAGTATGTATATTTAGAACCAGTGAATATAACCAAAACATTTACAATAGGGTTGTGTAAATTTATACTCACACTAGAAGTATAAGAACGTTCCAGTTGCTCCACATCTCTATCACACTTAGTATTGTCAGTCTTTTTCATTGTAATCCTTCTTATGGGGTGTGGTGATATCTTACAGTTTATTTGCATTTAACTGATAACTAATGATGTTGAGCACTTTTTTGCAGGCTTGTTGGTTACTTCAACATTCTCTATTGTCAATTATGTTCAAATTGTTTGCCTGTCTCTCTTGAGCTGTCTCTTTTTTTATTGATTTGTAGGGGTAGGTACTTCTTTCTTGATACAAGTTCTTTATTGAATATATGTATTATAACTATTTTCTCACAGACTTCAGTTCTTCTTTTCATTCCCCTAATGGTAAGCTGCTTATTTTTAAGCAAGTCCATTTTCCAGTCTTTTTCTTTCTCATTAGTGCTATCTTATTGCCTGTTTTAAGAAATTGTCAAAACCGAAGGCCATGAAAATGTTTTCCTAATATTTCTACTAGTAGCCTAAGTGTTTTAACTTTCACATTTAGGTTATAATACATTTCAGGTAGTGTATTGTTTTTAAAGATTTTATTTATTTGAGAGAGAGAAAGCACAAGCGGGGGGCGGGGGGATGAGGGAGAGGGAGAAGCAGATTCCTCACTAAGCAGGGAGCTGGATGCAGATTTTGATCCCAGGATCCTGGGATCATGACCCCAGTGGAAGGCAGATGCTTAACTGACTGAGCCACCCAGGTGACTCTGGTTATCATACATTTCAATTTTTTTTTTTTTGGTATAATGTGAAGGAAAAGGTCAAGGTTCATTATCAAAATGAAAAAGCCATCTTTTCCCCCATGAATTGCAATGAAGTGACACATCTTTAAGTGTATGTTTATTTCTTATTATTCAACATGTGCATAACACTTAGAGTTTGAGGGCATTTGATTTTGGTGTCACTAGAATGATAAATACATTTTTAATTTCAAATTAAAAACATTTATTTCATAAAGGAAAATTAAGAGCATTGTTTGGGGAAAGGTATTTATAATAGAAAATGAGATTATATGTAATCTCATTCCTTTATTGGGTAGATAATAAATGAAACACTTTTGCCATAAAATTATTCTTAAGGAAAATTAGCACAGATGAAAGAACTTGAAATTCTGAGAGATTCAGTGGCCTGCCTAATTGCATACATACATTATGATGTAGCCAGGAATAAAATTAATTCCCCTGAGTTATATTTCCTCTCTGGACATAATTATTTTTGGAAAACTGACAAGAAGAATCTAATAATTCTTTTTTAAGTTATGGGCAGTTGATTTCTTTTAACCATAATCCTTCTCTGTACACTCAGATGGTCCCTGAGATCCAAGCTCATCATCAGAATTTTTTGACTCCTCTATCAAAGTTTGCCTAAAATTCTGATTCCTCATAATTTCTATCATGTCATGTCTATGGATAATTCAAGTACTTTTGTGAGAGATAAGTAATAGTGTCTAATGATTTCAATCATTACAACTAGGATTCTTTCCTGAATGTATCTTGGTTTCACATTAATTAAGTATGGAAAAAAAGCACAGTAAGAGTAAGTGGGAAAATGAGTCAATACCCATAACACTTATTTTGATTATCTTTAGAATGGTGAAAACAAATGCATCATTAGGTTAAAATAGAGATTAAATAAGACCTATAAAATGCATTGTAAGTGTATACAGCTGTCATTCAATAAATACTCTTCTCTCACTTCTTTCTCTTCTTCTATCATACTTCTCTCCCTTTTTCTCCTTCATTTTTTTGGGGGTGAGGTGGGGGAGGCTACAAAGAATGATCCTTTCTGTGATGAAATAAGGGAGAGAAGCACGACGAAAGCACATTTCCCCTCTGCTCTCAGAGAAGACATTTGACATGACATGGTGGAAAGCATAAACAAATTTTCCTTGTGTTCAAGGGCCAGTTGTTACAATGATGATTTATTTTTGCTGTACATGTTTTGCTATGTTGGCCATATTTCTAAAGTTTAGAAATAATATTTTCTCATGTTAGCTACTTTAATTTTGCAAAGAAAATTAAAGAAAAATAAGCAACAAAAATGTTTCATATTCAGGGACTAGGAGGCATATGGCAAAATGATTTTGCTTTTTTGAGTGTGTGGGGTTTTTTTTCCCCATTGCAATTTCCACTGGATGAAGTTTAGATAGCTGAATTTTTCTCCTCTTTTAAAGCTTCTTCTATCACTGTTAAGTTATGTGAAAATGATCTTATGTTTTGTTTCCCTCTTAATACACAGATTACAATTATTTAGTCATTTTTCTTAATTTCTTGGAGTTTTTTTTTATTAAGACAATACCTAGTGGACATGATACATTGACATTGTCTCTCATTGACAACAATGATTATCATTCTCCATTCTTGCAGAAGTTACAAATAAGGAAAAGTTATGATAATTATTTGGGGAAAGTTGCTTATTAATAGAAAACATTAATTTTTGTGGCTAAGCTAGCAGAGCAAATTATGTGTTACGATGTGTTCTAGAATTAGGTCAAGTTATATTAAGTTATATTAAAAATCTGTGAGATAATGGAAAACAATCTTAGTTTGTGAGGAAAAAAATACTTTTATTATACCCAAGAAAGATGGCTAAGTTTACTTCTTTGTCTACACCCAATTGGCTACATGAGTGTGAAAAATCCCATAAATCTTTCCCTGCATTTCTCTCTCGGTAAAATTCAAATCTTAATATTTATATCTTATAAAATTAGTGTAATATTGTGAAGGTCCATTATTTATTACAGAATTTTTCTTTGCTGGAGAGAAGCTCTAAGTACATCCCAAAGTACTATTATTATTATAACTTATTACCATTTCATTTTAATGACTAAGGCTATCATACATTTTTATGGGAATCAGAGTTCCCAAATTATATTGTAACTGTGCTGTCCATCTTAAAATATTTTACACAAGTTTCATAACTCCTGTTTCGAACAGTAACAAAGAATAAGGTCTTCAGCTTGAATGAGTATACATAAGTAAAACAACATATTTGCTCTTAAATTTCTCCTAGCTTTCCTGTTATTTGAGTAAATATATTAAATTCAAAAGAAGTACATAAAGTAAATTGAAACAAATTGTGGATGCTGGTGTAAATTACAACTTGGAATATTTAGATGGTAAACGTTTTAAGAACAGCACATTTTACGGTGTGAGTGAAAAAAAGTGTGTAATGAAGAAATCAGAGTGAAATTTCTACTTCATTAGCTGACTTAAAAGTGCCTCGGGTGAAAGAAGAGAAGATTTGGGAGGAAACATCATTTAATGTTTAGGAAATCTGCTATCAACTCAACTTGGCCCAGCATAGATAGCTTACAGATCCTAGGGAATTTGAAAGGGGGAATCAAGCTGACAGTATATTTGAAATGTACTACTACTGTTTTACGGAATCATGTTATAATTCATTTATCTTGAAATAGGAAAGTAAAATATCCAGGAGAAATGTTATACATGGATAAACTAAAGTTTAGTCGTTTAGCACATTTTTGTGGAAAACTGCAAGGAGCACAAGATATAATGGTGAGCACAGTTTTTGCTTTGAAGGTGAGCTTGGTAGGTGAGGGGTGCAAACCAGATAAGCTAACAGGTAATTGTGACAAGGACCAAGACTGCGGTCTATGGGACCCTGTACAAGGGCCAGAGGCAGAGGGAGGTGGAAAGGGGCTTCTGATGACCAACTTGTGCACCCTGATGCTAGAGATGTCCTTGGAGGCACCATACAGCTGGTGGAAGCTGTGAGAAGTCTCTAATTATGAGAAGTCCAGAGAACTCTGGAAGAACAAACCTTATCTTGGAGTTAGAAGAAAATCTTCTAGGAGAAGGTGTCAATACCTAAATCAAAAGCAAAAGAATAAGGAGGTGTTAAAAGATGAAAATGTAGAAACAAGGGTGGGGTTTTGAAAGGACGTTGGTCAGATGAAGCAGATATCTTGTGTAGAAAGGACTGGAGGCAAGAGAATACATGAAACTTTCTGGAAGTTTCAAGAGAACACAGGCCTCTAAGAGGAGATCAGTCAAGAGAGGATATTCCTGATTTTTAACATTCTGTACTGAGGGAGCAATACCCATAGAATCATCCCATTTTGATTCTCAGGTTCTTCTAGGCCAGATCAGGATGGGGAAAAGTTAGTGGAAACCCACACAGCATGAAGTTACAAAGGGTATCAAAGGGTATCCTTTGTGCTATGACTCCTTATGTCCCAAGTTTGGATTGGTACTTTACAAAATAAATGAAATTCTAAGCACATTCTCTCAAGGTTTCAATTTAGAACCTAGTTTTCAGAAGATGTGTTTTTTTTACAAACTGCTTTTGGGAGATAGAATTGAAAGAGAGAATAGGACGCAGTCTGCCCTTCTTGTGTAAGTCTTGGGTCTGTGAGAGGGAGATTCAAAGTCAAGTACTATGAATATGTGTATGTAAAAATAGGGACTTAAATGACACACATCAAATCCATGGCAATGGTTAGTTCTTGAGAAGGAAGATGGAATCTGGAACAGAGAAGGAATCTGTCTTATATATCTCCATATTTAAAAATCAGAAAAATTGGGAGAAAATGTTAGCATTTATTAACTCGGGTCATGAGAAGCCAGGTTTGTTATATTATTTTCCATTATATGCTCTCTTTTTAAAAGTAAATAATAATCAGTTTCCTCTTATTTGACATTTGGCTCTTTAGGGGCCCAGGATACATTCATCTCTGCCACTTGCTACAGCCACAAACCTCAGTTTAGCTGGGAAAGAAAAAACTGGCACCTCCTCTTTTTTTTTTATTTCACCAATTTTGTGATCTTGCCCCCTTTGAGGTGGGTTGATTCCTTTTCTTTTCTTTTCTTTTCTTTTTTTACTGTTTGTAAAAATTTTTATAATATTTTTTAATCTTTATAATCCTTTTAATATAATCTTTATATTTTTTAAATTAATTTATTTTTTTGATGTAATGTTCCATGATTCATTGTTTGAGTATAACACCCAGTGCTCCATTCAATACATGCCCTCTTTAATTACCCATCACCAAACTAACCCATCCCCCCACCCCCCTCCCCTCTAGAACCCTCAGTTTGTTTCTCAGAGTCCACAGTCTCTCATGGTTCGTCTGATTTCTAATGTGATCATTTTAATTTTAACATTTACCAATTTAGAATCTAACCAAGAAGTCACCAAAGAGCCACTTTTCCCACCTTTTCTAACACAGACATGTTCCACTCTACCGACCCATCCCAATATTTTCACCTTTGTGAATCTGACAGATTGAAATGCTGGTAACAACTTAATTGAATGATATTTTTGTGCCGTGTATTGTGCTAGGAACTTTTCATGCTAGTCACCTCAGCACTATTTTTGCTCCATATTATAGGTAAGGAAACAGGTTTATAGAAGTTCAGAGAATCACCTGCCATTGCACAGCTATTAACGTGTGGGACTGAGGTCTAAACCAGGTATTTAGGTCTCCAGAGTCCAAGCTCTCAACCACTTTGTTGGATCTCTTCCTAGTGTTGTTTTAAAATCACATTTATTTGATTACTAGTGAGATGGTACATCTATTTATCAAGAATCCTGTGTTCCAAACTCTTTGGAGGAGAGACAGTATAATGTAGTGATTGAAAGCATGAGATTTGGGGCACCTGGGTGGCTCAGATGTTAAGCACTTGCCTTCAGCTCAGGTCATGATCCCAGGGTCCTGGGATGGAGCCCCGCATCAGGCTCCTTGCTCAGCAGGGAGTCTGCTCCTCCCTTGCCCTCTGCCCCTGCTTGTGTTTCCTCTCTCACTGTGTCTCTCTCTGTCAAATAAATAAAATCTTAAAAAAAAAAAAAGAAAAGCATGAGATTTGACATCAACTCTATATTGTCAAATCTGGCTTTAACACTTACTAACCATGACCATGAATAAATTGCTGTCTGAAGTGAAAATAACAATATGGCTATCTACTAGGGTTGTGGTGAAGGATAAATGTGAGAGATATATCAAATGCTTACCTGAGTGGTTAGTACATTATAAGCAATTAGTAAATACAAAAAGAGTCAAATAATACATTGTTTTGTTATTGTTGTTTTGTTGTTGTGGTTGTTAGGAAAGATACCAAACTAAGCAACTAAGAATCTATAAAAATAAATTTTGTTTGGGCTAGAAAAAAAGAACCAAAACTGTGTTTTTGTTCCCTGAATTCCATGTATCTATTATTCTCTCATGCATAAACTTAAAGAACATTAACTATCACCTAGTTACCCCTTGCTTGTACCTGTTAATCCTGGGATTAGACCAGAAAGACGTTGACTCATTGATTAATTCAGTGTTTATTGATTTTAAACTCTGTGCTAGACAAGTTAGGCAGACTTCTGAGACTCTCAGTTGTGCTATCATTATCTATAACCTGGACACTTATCAAAATCTCTTGATATGTCAGTAGATAATAGTGAATTAATATTTCTATAACTTAAAATGACCAACCAGTCTAATAACTTGTCAGGAACTATTATATAGTTTTGTATAATCTCTTAGAAAGTTTATGTCAGTACACTCAGACTTCTTTTAGAGATTCACAAAATTATATATATATATATATTTTGTTGTTGTTGTTGTTGTTGTTCCTCAGGGCTCATCAACATACCTGCAGTGGCCTTTGGAATATTCTCTGGGGGGATAGTTATGAAAAAATTCAGAATCAGTGTGTATGGAGCTGCAAAACTCTACTTGGGATCATCTGTTCTTGGGTACCTCCTGTTCCTTTCCCTGTTTGCACTGGGCTGTGAAAATTCTGATGTGGCAGGACTAACTGTCTCCTACCAAGGGTAGGTTCACTCATTAAGTAATCTGAGGTGATTGGCTTGTTTAATCAAATTAATTATTGATAGAGTTTCAAATTAAGATAATTTGATTGTGAACATCGTAAATATGAGAAAGGAATTAAAGTTTTATTGTGGAATAGCTGACAGTACTTTGACATGGGAGCTGTTACTGTCACCAGAATCTGTCATCTCCTTTGATTTTGGTTGCCTAAGAGAAATTATTAAGAATATTGCATCTCTATCTTCGTTATATAAGGCAACCTGACAATGGAAAACACAGACCTTGAATCTTGCCTCTGTCCATCATTAGTGAAGTGACATTGTATAGGTCATTTACTCTAATCAAACCTCAAATTTTTCCACTTTAAAAATAAGAATAATAACTACCTTATAGAATTTTGTAAGATTTAACCAAGATAATATACATGGAAGTGATTAGTACTTTCCTGGCACAAAAGAAATGTGCCATTTGTAAACAATTGTATTTTTTTTTTCTTTGAACACTTGGATAACTGGAAAGGTCTCTGGGCTACTTTTTGTAGTCTTTGTTGTACTCAAATCATGTGAAGTTTCAGGAGAGAATGCTATTCCTCAGCCTGGTGAACCACACAACAGCTCTCTTTAGCTCTTTGCAGTTGGTCAAGAGAATATTTATTGATGTTTTCAGACCTATGCCATCTCGTATGGGGTGGATGACTAGTTTTCTTAGGTTCCAGGGTCTGTCCATCTTAATACAAAGCTGGATCTTGAAGGAACTACCCTGTCTTTTCCTTTCAAGAGTCCTTGCCATCTCTCTACCTCTGAACATGAGTTCCCAGACACAGCTGTCTTCGTTCTTCCACCCAGCTATATATTATCTGTTTAAATTACTCATTGAGCCACTACTGCGTGCCAGGCCTACCACACTAACTGCACTTCGTGACTGTCCAAACTCTGCCTATGGCTCAGAGGCCAATGCTCTTGATCTAATGATCTGTGTCTCTTAGTTTAGCTGCTGCATATTTACTGCTTGCTCTCCAGCTTTCTTCCTGTGCTTCCTTCCATTGTCTTGTCCCCATAGTCCAATCTCCATCACCCTCATTAACCTGGTTTCTCCTGCTCTTAAGTGAGTATTAGTTATACTTTTTACCATCTAAAAAGCCCAAGAAAACTAGAGACTGAAAAGTTTATATACTGTTGCTTCTGGGAGTTACCAGAAGCAGTTACCAGTTACCAGTTAACTGAGTGTAGTAACGTTGCCTTGCTAACCGTCAGCAATGTAGATTAAGGACGTTAGTTGTAAGCAGGAATTGCAAGAAGATTCTGGAGAGAGTAGAAGCCCTCTGCTGTCTTTAATTGTCCCTATGATCCTAATGGTAGGTGGACAGTGGTAAAATTCTTTGTATTTTGCAATTTACAAAACACCATAACTTTCATTATCTCACTTGTATCCTCAAAGCATCTTTATGAGGTAAGTTTTATTATCCTCATTTAAAGGAAACTGAGTTTAGAAAGGTCAACTACCTCTTCAAAGTATAATATTCTTTCTACAACATCATCGTGTCTCTAAGCCAAAAGTAAACACATAGACGGACAACAATGGCAAAGTTTTGAGGTTCATTAAAAGTTTACCCACACAATAAATGATTAAATATTTTTAAACAAGTAAAAGATAATATATTCATTGCATGAGTACTAGCCTTTGAAAGCAGTTGCCTTAAAAGACTACAACTGCATTGCAATAATGCTTTCATCATCTAAAACATTCTAAAACTCCTCTTTTGAAATTGCTTTCCATGTTTTTCAGAATATTCCCAACAATGGCAAAGATTTAACCTTTAAGGGTAGCTTTGCTATTGGAAGCAGCCAAAGAAATGGCAACATCCCTGGAAAAAGCTCTTGCATCCCTACATGACTCTTTTGAAAGCAAAATCCCATTTGAGTATAAATATTCTGACATATTTGATAAAAATTATCTTAAAATTTTAAATAACTCTGCCAACACATCCTTTGTAAAACATATATGCAATTAATTTCTGCTTCAAGATAGTCCTAGATGATAAATTTAACATACTTTTAGTAATATAAAATAATTGGCTTTATAGAATACAATATGCTCCCCAGGGATTATCCTGAGTTGCTTTGTTCCACAAGGCTGTTTTGATTCTGGACATTCAACAGGAACCCTGTAGACAGCTTTAGATATGGTAATGGAAGAAACCTTTCTTCTGGATAATGAGAGTAAGTTTGATGTGAGACAAGAAATTTAGAATCCAGGGGCCTGGAAGAATTCTCATTTTGAAGTTTGTTGCTAATAAACCTTGTGAATTTGAGCCAGTAATTTGCCCACTTTGGACCTGACTTTCCTGATCTGCCGAATGAGAAGTTGGCCTAGATCTCCCCCGAAATTCTTTCAACAGTAACCTTCTGAGATCCCAGTCCTACACTATCCATAGTGGCCTGATTCTAGGCTTTCAAAGGCACTTACTTATACTTTCAGATACTACCAAACAGCCTCAATTAATTTAACAATTAATGCCTTATAGAAGAGAACAGAATGAAATACTCCTATATGACTTCTCAGGAGGCCTAGTTATATCCTTTTATTCTGTCTGGAGACATCTCAGTGGCTTTTATGTTTGAGGTAACCAAATGCATAGCAGTTCTACTAGATGGAATATTCCATCAATTAAGAAATTATAATTGCAATCATTATAGGACATACCTCTTAGAAGGAGGGGCCAAAATGACATTTATTTTCCTCCAGAATAAAATAGTGTTTTACTTTGATTGACTTACCAGAAATCTTGTTTCTTAACCTAGTATGTCCCAAATTGTTCTTGGTGCTGGAGACCCAGGAGTGAATAAAACAAATACTTCCTGCCCTCACTGAGTGTACATGACAATGCACGTGGGGTTTGTTGCTGTTGTTTCAGTTTTAAGTCCCTCAAATGCTTTTGTAAAAAAAAAAAGAGAGAGGAGGAGAATAATCAAGTAAATAAATTCGAAATAATAGAGAAAAAAAAAAAAGAATGATGGAGTGCCAAGGGATGAAAAATAAAGTACAGGTAGAAGAGAAATACCATTGCATAAGTATGCCCTGAAGAGAATAAAGGAATATGAAAGGAACAAGGAGAATAAAAGTAGAAGGATGAGGTCATTCAAGTGAGGGGAAGAAATAGAAGTGAAAGAGAAGGAATTCTGGGAGAGATAAAGGGGGAAGGTAAGACAGAATGACAGGGAGAGAAAAGAGAGAAGACCATCAAAATTATGTAAAGTTAACTGTTAGAGCAGAAAGCCAGCTCCTTAAGGGCAAATATTGTCTCATTCATATTTGTAACTATCTTCTCTCCTCCCAAAGCTAGCACTTAGAAGGCTTCCACAAAATTTTTGAACACATGAACAAATGAATGGTAAGTCATTGAAAAAGCATGTGCAAGAGAATCAGAAAGAATTACCTGAGATATGGAAGAGCTGCATAGAGTGGGAGATTTTGAGACAGAGAAAAGTTAGATGAACTGGCAATGCATTTATTAGTAAGACACAAATAGGATGTGTAGCTCTTCCAAACTGAAGTCTGTTGACATAATGTTGACTACTTGACTGTTTTCTTTCTTTTACTGCACCATCAGCAATGCCCATTCTACTGATGCCGAAACAATTGTGAAGGAAATTTACACGCAAGCACGCATGCTCATGCACACACTGCCTGCAATGCATTTAAGTAATGTCATTAGTTGCTCTAGAAGTTTACTTTTCTGCTTTGTTAGCCACTTTCCTACATCTTTGCATAGAAATGTATTAGAAGATCCTAGAGATCGTCGATTTTAGTAAAAACCATAAACCAAGAACTGGATATTATGTGAAGGTGTAAACTTCTAAAGAAAACTTTCAAGAGAAAGCTTCTTAATAGTAGACTCACATTTAATAATCAGAAACTGGCATTTCTGATGACACTTGTGTTTCCAAAAGGCAAACTCCGTTGGCACTGCCATTTATATTACTCAAGAACACTGATTTTTGAAGATATTAGGGTGCTGCCTGCTAAGAGGTAATATTTTATACTGTTACATTTCTTTTCAGAACCAAACCTGTCTCTTATCATGAACGAGCTCTCTTTTCAGATTGCAACTCAAGATGCAAATGTTCAGAGACAAAATGGGAACCTGTGTGTGGTGAAAATGGAATCACATACGCATCGGCATGTCTTGCTGGTTGTCAAACCTCCACCAGGAGTGGAAAAACTCTTGTAAGGAATCCCTAATGTGTGTGCCTGTGGTGTCTTCTCTACCACGTAACTAACTGCACAGCTCTCTGGGAGCTCAGGGACCAACCCAGAAGCAGACCACACTGGTAGCAGCTCTGGCTCTTACTCTACCCTTGTTCTTTTATATGGATATAGGAAACATCTCCATCGCTAGTGGACTAGAATTGTTTAAACAATTAGGCTAAGAATTAGGATCATGAAACATGCTGGAAGAGACTTGCAATGATGTAGTGAAGTTCTCTCACTTTGCTTGTGAGGAATATTAGCCTCAAATGAGACAGTCTCAGTCATAAGATCATATGATAAGATCTGCATTGGGATCCATTTCTTCTGACCCCAAGGCCAGTGGTACTGGGAGGTTTTAGAGACAGGACAAATAGAGGCCAGTGTTAGAAAGTCTAGCCCAAGAGGTTTAGACCCAGGGATCATGAGCTCGATTTTGAGGAGATTGATAGTTCCAGATACTCTGCCTGAGAAATCAAGCTTGTGTGCGCAGTAATGAAAAGAGTAGGTGGCTGGAATGAAGGAGTTCTATAGGGTGGATGACAGAGATGAGGTTGGAAATAAAGGTAAGAAATCAGTTGTGGAAGATATTATGTACTTAAATCATTAGACTCATTTCTCCAGTCACACCTTTACATTTCTGCACCAAACATACCTCTTGTACTCTGTTTTCATGGCTAGTGGTCAGACTGCTGTCTACTTGTGCTGATGAAATCTGTCTGTATTTGACAGTCCTAGAGGGCTGAAAATTAACCCACACATCTATTTACATATGCTTATCAACTAGATAAGAATGCTTAGGCAAAAACTTCTGTAGATGTAGAGTAACAAGTTGATTTTCTCTCTGTTTATTGTTACTTTGACATTTTATTCAGAGTAGAAAGGACTGGCTTCCAGCAACAGTGAAGAGGACTACCCACCCAACTGAAACTGAGTTTTTGACCTTCATTCCCCTTTCCTTCCCCTCTCCCTCCCTCTTTTTTCTTTTTTTTTTTCTTTTCTTTCTTTTCTCTTCTCCTTCCTTCCTTCCTTCCTTCCTTCCTTTTTCTTTCTTTCTTTCTTTCTTTCTTTCTTTCTTTCTTCCTTCCTTCCTTCCTTCCTTCCTTCCTTCCTTCCTTCCTTTCTTTCTTTCTTTCTTTCTTTCTTTCTTTCTTTCTTTCTCTTTTCTCTTTCTCTCTTTTCTCTTTCTCTCTCTTTCCCCCTTCCCTTCCCTCCCCTCCCCTCCTCTCCCCTCTCCTCTCCTTCCCTCCCTTTCCCATCCCTTTCCCCTCCCTTTTCCCCTGCTCCTCCTCCTCCTTCCTTTTCTTTCAGCCTCTACTCTTTTGACTAAACTGCTTGAAAGTTTTCCTTACCTGGAACTTCACTTACCGAAGGCATTCATGCCAGGAACTAAGAGAGGTGCTTAAAAAAAGGGGGGGATTTAAATATCATGGTCTTCAAGTGACTGGTTATTACTTTATTTATTTTCCTCATGTGAGAAATGAGGCACTGATATGCCTAAACTCATGTATCTAATAAGAGGCAAGGTCAAGGTTCAAAAGCTTTTTATCTGACATTCATTAAAAAAAAAAAAAAGATCAACATTGCTCCTTGGAAAGGAAATGCCAGCTTCATTTCACTGTTTAACTAAAAATTCACAAACTCTTTTGTGATATTTACAAAAATAAACTAATGAGGGATTATAAAATTTGCCTCTCTGTCCAAGATTTAGTTGAGGTTTATTATTCAGGGTTTTTTTCCTAGTTACCATTAAAAAGTCATATCCTCAAATTATGCCCATTTATTTAACAAATTTTTATTGAGTGCCTAAAAAGAGGACCCACTTTAGGCTCTACATGTACAATGATGAGAAAGCAGACAGTTTCTGCCAGAGGTTTCATTCTAGTGGGGATATATAGTTTAAAAACAAATGATTATATAATACTCTAATGGGTAATGATAAGCACTATAAGGAAAAGGTAAGTTAGAATAAAGTATGGAGAGATGGGGGTATTTTTTTGAATGGATCATCATGGAAGTCCTCTTTAACGAACTGAGCAGAGACCTGAGGTGTGTGCACCAGCCTTACAGCTATCTAGAAGAGCTACCCAGCAGAGAAAACAGCTAGGCTATAAGGCATGGGTAAACTTACCATGTTTGAGGGTTGGCAAGGGCACAGTGGAAACCCACGTGTGCCACTGAAGCAGAGGGAGAGGGGAAGATGATTGAGCCGTGAGATCAGAGGGGGATCCAGGAGTTCCATCATAGTGTGTAAGCCTCTATAAGGATTTTGGATTTTGTATAAGCATAATAAGCAGCTATTGGAAGGCTGAGAATAGTGACTGCCATTTTTAAAGGCTCACTTTGGTTACTGTGTGGGTAACAAATGATAGCTGGATAAGAGTGGAAATAAGTTGAGCATAAAGAGATGACAGCAATAACCAAGGCAAGAAATAATGGTGGCTTAAGCTTGGAAATGGCAGAGAAGGAGATAAGGTATGTTTGGATTTACTAGGATTTACTGGGAGATTGTTTGGTAGGGTCGGTAGTTTGACCATCTGCTGTTTGGATTAAAAAAAAATGTTATCTGTATAGATTTCACTTTGCTCACTATACCTTAACACAGAGAAATAAAAGAATATTTACCTTATTGTTTATATGTTGCACGTATACTATATTGTAAACAAATACGTATTTTCAGTTGTATTTAGAGGTTACCTCAATAATTGGAATTTTTTCTATTGTGTTACAGATATTTTATAACTGTACCTGTGTGGGGATTGCAGCCTCAAAGTCAGGAAATTCCTCAGGCATGGTGGGCAGGTGTCAGAAAGATAATGGATGTCCCAAAATGTTTCTGTATTTCCTTGTCATTTCAGTCATCACATCCTATACTTTATCTCTAGGCGGCATACCTGGATACATACTGCTTCTGAGGTGAGCACTGATCCTCCCTGCCCCAGTTTTAATGCAAGACATATTATAATCATTTAAAACATTGATTTCAAATTCTGTTCTAGAGAATTGTGATTCCTTATAGCTCTCTCAGGGAACTTGACCCATGTCCTTGTTCTAGTTTTATACTCTTCCCATTTTTGGGTTTTTATGCAAAAATATGGTTGAATAGAAGTTTTTCTAGTTAAAATCTTTTTGTAAATCATTGGTCTAGAGAGCCTGTATCACACTATAGCCCCTCAAAAAATACAATATGCTATTTCTAATTATGGTGATAATACTATCCAGTGAAGACTAAATGTGTTTTTTATTATTTTTTAAGATTTTAATTTTAAGTAGCTCTGGGGCGCCTGTCGTTAAGTGTCTGCCTTTGGCTCAGGTCATGATCCCAGGTCCTGGGATCGAGCCCCACGTTGGGCTCCCTGCTCCGCAGGAAGCCTGCTTCTCCCTCTCCTGCTCCCCCTGCTTGTGTTCCCTCTCTCGCTGTGTCTCTCTCTGTCAACTAAATAAATAAAAATCTTTAAAAAAAATTTTTTTTAAGTAGTCTCTACACCCAACGTGGGGCTCAAACTTACAACCCCAAGATCAAGAGTCACATGCTCTACCAACTGAGCCAGCCAGGTGCCCTTAGGCTAATTGTGTTTTAGATTAAGCATGGTTTCACTGAATTATGAGTGATAAAATTTTAAGATAGCTTAAAGACTCATCTAATATCACAATGCTTCACATTTATTATTTTATTATGTAGGTTATTTTTCTTGTTCTGACTAGAATTATCTATATGAGTGTGTGGGGGGGTTGTTCATAACTTTTGAATCAATTGAGTTCTCTAATCCATGAATATATGTTAATGATTCCAAGTGTTTTTGCTTATAAAACTCTAAAAGAATTTTTAAAACTGTGTACCCCTTTGGCATATTGTTAAGTGGACATCTAAAAATTTATCTTAAGTTTTATAGTAAGTAAGCATTGATTTCCGGTATATTATAAATATTTACATTTAAAAATATAATTATTTTTATTTTTTTTTTTTAAAGATTTATTTATTTGAGAGAGCGAGAAAGTACATGAGAGGGGGGAGGGTTAGAGGGAGAAGCAGGCTCCTCGCCGGGCAGGGAGCCCGATGCGGGACTCGATGCAGGGACTCCAGGATCATGACCTGAGCCAAAGGCAGTCGCTCAACCAACTGAGCCACCCAGGCGCCCCAGAAATATAATAATTTTAAATGTAGATCACTCTTAAATGTAATCAGTGAGAATTTAGGAAACAGATTAGATAACCAATATCACCTAATTTAAAATTACATAAAAAATCTTTTACAGTAAGTATGTTACATATTTTTTTCTTCTTGTGCCTATATCTTAATTCAACTTCCCTGTAGGCTTCTCTTCTATTGTAATATAATTTATGTTTGAACATTTTTTATTGACTCTCCTATCATAGATCTCTATAAAAAAGCACATGAATTCAAATTTTAAAATAGTAGTTTTGTAACTAGTATTGTCAGTGATAAAATTTTCTTCCTAATGGTATTAACCATGCAAATATTACTATTATACAATTGATAAAATAATCTAAAAATATTACAAATTTTAGTAAAATTATTAAACCTAAAAAGTCAAATTTTATTGGAAACTAATATTTTATGAGATGATTAGGTGATTTTTAAATTAATTCATATATTGAAGGATGAATATCACATTATTCTAAAATGAAGCTAATCAAAAGTATTCTATACATCTATGGTTTCCCATAGTATATTATGGAAAATGATTAGGAAAAATAAACAGAAAATAGGACCTAACATCCACAAAAGGGCTTAAGGAAAACATGAGATATTATGTTTTCAAATGGGAGTATGATATGGAGAGCATTGCACCAGAGTTCTCAAACCAGGATTGTTCTTCATGGGTGTCTATTTCTTCCACATCTTATACTGGGTCAAGTAGTCGCCTGGGCCAAGTGCTTATTCAGGGTCCTAGATGAAGAATTATCTTCACCACCAGCCCTTCAAATGAACCATGCTGTGTTTTGATGTCAGAAGGAGATGTCCTTAGATTGAAGGAGAAAAGTTGTGATTTTTGCCTCTTTTAAAGTAGAGATTAAATGATATTATACACATGAAGAAATTAGTACCCTGGTTAACACTCAATAGTTATTATAATATGATCATGATTATTACCATTAAAATCGACAGGCCACTTAGTTAAAGCTATACAGTCATATTAAGGATGCCCTTGTTATTTTAGGTATTCTTGCACTTGGCTGCTAGATTCAGGTCCCCACTATTTAGCAGAAACACTTAGCATGCCACAGCAATTATAATTGTATCAACTCGGGTCAACATGGTCCTGTGCTTTTAGACTAAGAGCTACAAAAATTAGTTATAGTTTATTGATCCCTTATTGTTGCCTCAAATTTCTTAGAATTTTTTTTCTGTGAATCTTTGTTGTTTTGCCAATTAAACTTACAATTTTACTTTATCCGATACCATCTGAATATATCCTGTAGAGGTGATTTACATTTTGGAAATATTAACTATAAACTCTTTGATGCATTGCATCTAATAGCACATGGATTTACATAATTTGCCCGCCCTATGCTAGGACACTATGGGTTTTCCATAAATGCTATTTGAATTCTAACATTTCATATGTGATAAGCAGATTATCACTAACATTACTATTTGCTTTAATGGACTATATTCTCTTTATAGTGCTTTTGTTGTTTTTAGGTGCATTAAGCCACAATTTAAGTCTTTTGCCCTGGGTATCTACACCTTAGCAATAAGAGTTCTTGGTAAGTATAATCTATGTTTTAATTATGGTAGCCATGACAAATGTGTTTTGAATACTTTTCTAAGTATTTTTACAGAATTATCACGCATAACTAAATAATATAGGTGGTTAGGTCCCTATTTATTTTCTTCCTCCCTTCATTTCTTTATTCCCTCCCTCCCACTCTCAACTTCTCCCTTCCTTTGTTCTAGAAATTGAGAGCCAATGCTGGGCCTGTGATATTATGAAGTGATTTTGTGAGAATAGTGACATTTTTTGTCTGACAGTCTTGTCTCTTCCAGCACTGGTCTATTGTCAAAAAGTTTATTCTTGTTATGAAGGAGCCCTCTGAGAGGAAAGCAAGAAATGAAATCAGTAAGAAAGGCTGAAGCCTTAATATAATTTCTTCAGTTGTTAAAATGGAAGGAATTCTTTTGAGCTACTCTCAATGCTGGGATATATCATTTGGTAGAAAGATCAGTTCATTCATACAATCAAAACAGTATGACTATGAGTTGACAATTTTTTAAATGTAATTGGAATGTTTCTTTCTGACTAATAGATTTTTCAATATGCATTAGTTAGAACCCATAGAAAATAGAGTTAATGGGCAGGTAAGTTTTCTGTTCCTACAAAGTTTATATTCTAAGGAATAAAGCAAAACAATCACAAATGTTCCTCTGTAGTTTAACAGAAAAGAACTGCCAGGGAGAAAAACGAACTCAGATCTTTAAAAAAAATCTGAAAATAAATAGATCTTGATATAAAATGGGTATATACGAAGATACAGTATAATCCTGATGAAACTGGGGAAGCAGCAAATATGGAAGTTTATCCCATTATGGCTGGCTCTAATTCTACAATGTGAAAACAGAGATTACTTAGAAAAATGTCAGATTATTGAGCCTGAAGTATATCTCTGGCTGGAATTGGTTCCTATATCTACCTCCTTTTGGAGATAAAGATATAACCTACACTAGAAAAAGATTTCAAGTAAAAGAAATGTTTCACTGGGGCCCCTGGCTGGTTCAGTCAGTAGAACACATGACTCTTGACCTCCAGGTTGTGAGTTCAAGCCCCATGTTGGGCATGGAGCCTATTTAAAAAATAAGAAAATAAAGTGTTAAAAAATAAATGATTCATAAAATTGATTCCATAAAACTAAAAATATACTTGAAAATGGCAAAATTATCTTAAGCAAAGTCAAAAGGCAAATGATAAACTGGGAACAATTATTTTTTGCAATTTATGCAAAGACTATTTATAATACCCCTATTATAAAGAGAGCCCGTAAGTATTGAGAACAAAAAGACCAACACCCAAATGGAAAAATGCGTAACAGGTATGAACAGCCATCTCATGGAAAAAAATGTAAATGCCTCTTAATATATGAAAAGATGGTCAAACTCGCTCATAGTAAGGAGAGCACAAATTAAAATTATACTGAGAGAATTTTTTTTGCTTATCAGATTTGCAAATTACCAAATGTTGTTTGCAATGTATGGAAAAATAGATATGCTTACACACTGCTGTTGAGAAAATTTCTCAATGGTCTCAGCCCTCAATGGAGAGTTATGTGGCAGTAACTAACAAAACTAAGATTAGATTTATTTTTTGACCTAGCAATCTCACTTCTAAAAATTAATACCAAAAACTTGCTAGCAAAACTATGAAATAAGTAAAATTTTATGGATGTCTAATTACTGTGGCATTATGTATAATAGCAAGACTGTAAACAGTCTAGTTGTCCATCAATATGACATATTTGAATAAACTAGTGAACCCACATAATGGATTCCTATGCAGCTGTAAGGATGAATAGGGAAAAATCTCCCTCTAATGTTCACAAGTTTATTAGTCAGCTCTGGCTGCCATAACAAAATACCACAGACTGAAGGACTTTAACATCAGAAATTTATTTTCTCACATTTCTGAAGGCTGGGAAGTCCAAGATCAAGGTACCAACAGCCCTGTTGTCTGGTGAGATCCCTGAGACCATTTTTCCTGGTTTGTAGACAGCTGCCCTCTCACTGTGTCCTCACAAGGATTTCCCCTGTGTACATATGGAGAGGGACGGAGTTTTGGTATCTTTTCCTCTTCTGATTAGGACACCAGTCCTAGCAAATTAAAGTCCTTTATGACTTCACTTAACCTTTATCTCCTTAATAACTCTATCTCCAAGTGCAGTTATATTAGGGCTAGGGCTTCAGCATATGAATTTTGGAGGGACACAATAGTCTATATTACCAAGGGATCTCCAGACTATACCCTTAAGTGAAGTGAAGTAAAATGTAGAACGATGTTCATACTATGATGCATTTGGTGTAAGAAGTATGGAAAGGTAGAAATATTATACACGTATGCAAAGGTATTTGCTAACATTTAAAAAAAGAAACAATGGAAGTATAAACTAAAAAGATGTTGATGGTGGTGGTGGTAGTTACGTATAAGGGAAGGAAGGAAAAAAGTAAGAGAAGACAGAATGGAAAGTAGAATTTGTAAATGTAACTCTGATTTACTTTTTAATTTGAAATCATGCAAAGTTTTTTCAGGTCTTGATCTCAGGGTCCTGGGATTGAGCCCTGTGTCAGACTCTGCACTCAGTGGAGAGGGTGCTTAAGATTCTCTTCCCCTCTCTCTCTGCCACCCCTCCACTTCCCCCCCCCCCACGCTCAGGAGCTCTCTCTCTCTCTCTCTTTTAAATAAATAAATAAATATTTTTTTAAAAACTGAAATCATGAAGTTTTTATTTAATTAAAAAACAATATGGGGCACCTGGGTGGCTCAGTTGTTAAGTGTCTGCCTTCGGCTGGGGTCATGATCCCAGGAGCCCTGCTCAGCAGGAGTTCTGCTTCTCCCTCTCCCACTCTCCCTGCTTGTATTCCCTCTCTCTGTGTCAAATAAATAAATAAAATCTTAAAAAAAAAAACAATGAAAAGAGACTAAGACATTCTTAAAACAAACTGAAATTAGCTATATAAGAGGCATAACCACAAAGAAAAACAGATTTAAAAGGGCAGAATCATTACCAAAGCCACATAACTTCACTGCATTGTGTAGTCGTATCTTTAATACTAACATTGGTATAGTTATGTTGAAACTATTACGTATTTTAAAATAAAGCAAATAAGAGATTATGTCAATATCATTAGAAGTCAGTGTTTTCAGCACAATAAAAAAGTGATAATAGCATAAAATAAGTAAAACCCATTCTTAAGTAATGGGAAGGTGACCAGGAAAAGTAAGGTAAACAAGGGTTAGAATTGTTATGGAGATTTAGGTGGGTGCCTTCTCCTTTGATAAAAGCCTCTTGGGATTAGGAATCCTTCTCTTGGTACAGAGAGGTAGACACCCTTACAAATGGAGACCTCTGTTATAAATCTTAGTTTCCCTTACAAAAAGGAAACTTAGGCTCTGTCTTCACAGCTTCTTCTGTGCCTTCTGTTTCTCAAAATAACGTTTATGCCAGAGAAATACAATGAGGAAGCATATTCTGGTCTTCTACAGGTACCTGTTTTCCCCAAAGCAGTTTGTTTTTAGTTTGAAAGTAGGTGGTTCCAGAGACTCATTCATTATAGGATAATCAAAAAGATGGGTATATATTTTTAGCAGCAATTGTTTGTTTTTCTCACAGCAGGAATCCCAGCTCCCGTGTATTTTGGAATTTTAATTGACACTTCATGCCTCAAATGGGGATTTAAAAGGTGTGGACGTAGAGGCTCCTGCCGATTATATGATTCAAATGCTTTCAGGTACTGTATCAAACTGGTTCCTGCATCTCCCTGCTACAACGTTACAGGTTTGCACAATGAAGTGGGCAGTAATCATTCCTCATGGAGTTTCACTGCAAAAGGATCATCTAACCAAGAAATGAGTTCTATTTTATAGAATAATTTTATTATTATGTATTTGGCTATATCTTTCAGTTTTTCCCCATTCCTAATCTTAACTCCCATTTTAAATGAGTAATCATTTTTTAAATAAAATTCACAAAAGATTCCAGAATACAGTAGAATTTTGCAAGTTTATGCACACAAGTGGGTAATTCTCTGAAGCTCCAAAGCATTTAAATTTAGGTCACATTTTGGGTTTAATTCTATTCTTTTTCAAACTGAGCCAAACTGTCCCATTTACGTCAGATATAATCCCCCTGGGCAAGGATTGGATTTGGCTCTAAATCTGTCCAGCTTTTATTGCCAAACTGATGTTCAATTATTCCAGTACTTGAGATGCATAAAAGTAAAAGGCTTTTTCTGTGTGTATGAGTGTGTATGGGGCTGAGGGGCATGGCTTTTTCACTATGGCATCATTCAGTTCATTTCATCAAACATTTAGTCCCCTTATTGCTTAAAGCAATGCTTCAATGGCTTAAAAGCAGGAAGGATTTTTTTTTTTTCCTACAATCTGAGCATTTTCTGGAGAAATAAGCTTGGTACTGAACTGTGTAAGTTGGAAGTTGGATGTGAATTGAGCCAACCATCTCAAATAAGTTTGTTTGATTTAATAAACTTTGATGTTATGTGAGAAATTTATTTTGGTCTTTGAAAGGGACTTGACCTATGAGTAGAATTTATGCTTTGCTCAATTTGCTAAGGCGGCATTTACTTTAATGTAAAGACAATGTATTTCAATCAGAGGCTGAGTATGTATACAAGATGACCAGAATAAATCATTCATCCTGTCCTTCCATACCTTCCTGTTTTATGATAGAATTAAGAACTAAAGGCTTCTCATTAAGAAAGTGATTTAAACCTTTGGTTAATTCTTAAGTCATTCTGCTCTACTAAGAGCTCTGGGTCTCCCTTAACATTGCTTCTTGCAGTTTTTTTGTAGACATGCATTTGGGCAAGTTTCAAGGATAGGGTAACCACATAATTTATCATTCAACATGGACACTTTTGAGAGTGAAAAGGGGCACTATTAAAAAGTACACTGGGACAACACCAGCATAAGCTAGGACTGTTCTGGGCAAATAGGCATATGGTCATCTGGTCTAAGGGAATAATTTACAGAGAGGATGGAACTGATTATGTAATTAGTAGTAACTAAAAATTATGGCACCACTAAGAGGTCGCTTTATATTAGCATGCTGCCTTCAATAGTCTGCCAGATGTTCATAGAAGGTCTTTTATGGCCACTGAATTTGCATTCTTAAGAAAAAACATCCTCGTGCTGGTTTCATTGACAGATTGATTTTCTTGGTATTGCTATTTATGGAATGATACTATTACCTTCCTTTCCCATTTTAGAGTTGGATAGTTGCACTAATTATGACTGAGTTTCTCTCTTCTTTTAGACACATATATCTGGGACTAACTGTGATGCTGGGCACAGTGTCCATTTTCCTAAGTATTGCAGTACTTTTCACTTTAAAGAAAAATTGTGTTTCAAAACATAGAAGCTTCAGAACCAAGACAGAAGGAACAATGGTGTCTACAAGAATCAGGAAGGAAAACTGTACTACAAGTGATCATTTGCTACAACCCAACAACTGGCCAGGCAAGGAAACACAGCTTTAGAAAAATGATGACTTGAAGTCATGTTTTCTAATTTCTGGAAATCGTGCAAACAAATAGATTTCAATCAAAGGGGTTTTAAATGTGTCTTGTTTTTCTCCTTTCAAAAAAAATGTCTTTGTTTTTGACCCTAGGTATTAGATAATGTACCTAATAACAAGTATAATTAAACATATTACAGAAAATGTGGATAATACAGAAAATGTGGATAATAAAGTTAACCCAAACCTTTTAAATCTTCCTTATATTATTTATACAAATCCCTTATATTATTTACTCATTCTGCCTGATTTTGCCTTGTGCCCATTGATATATTAGCTGTATTCCTAGAACAATTGTTCTAATAGTCTAATGGCTATATATAAAGTAATTTCTAAACTAAAATACTTGTCAAGGGGAAGAGAGTCCTGTTAAAAAATCAAATTATATCTTGTCCTCCTTCAAATATGACCTTAATGAAGATGTTGGGATAGAGCCAGAATAGGTGGAGAAAGATTTAATTTCACACTCTTCCTTTCTTATGGACTACAGTAATTGATACAGAAATGTATAGGGGCAAATGATCTTGGAGGATTCAAATTTTGGATTATTAGCTCTTCTGCCATCCATTACGTGTACATCGTGTGTGACACTTGAAGTGACCATGGTGGTAAAGTAATAAAATTATTATTAACATGTGTCATTGTCCTTCTATAAATCCAGTGGATTAAAAAATACTGTTTATACAACACTGCCCGTATTTTTTTTAAAGATTTTATTTATTTATTTATTTTGAGAGAGAGAATGAAAGACAGAGAGCATGAGAGGGAGGAGGGTCAGAGGGAGAAGTAGACCCCCCGCTGAGCAGGGAGCCTGATGCGGGACTCGATCCCGGGACTCCAGGATCATGACCTGAGCCGAAGGCAGTCACTTAACCAACTGAGCCACCCAGGCGCCCAACACTGCCCGTATTTTAATGTATGTAAGCTGCTCTAGACATTGCACATGACGTGATCCTAAAATGCATTTGGAAGTTGAATTTCTGAAAGTCTGCAGTAAGCTTAGGTGTTGTAACAGGAATGAGGAGGTGACGGGTTGAGTGATGGTGTGGTTCTTGGGTGCTCTGGTGTGGTTCTGGCACCCATCACAGGGTCGAAGGGCTTCTGGGCAGGGGGCTGACACTGCTACAGCCTGCCAGATAGCTCTTCATTTCTGGGCATTTCCTCTCTGATGGCTTCCTGGAGCTCCTCTGAGGAGCTCTAATAAGTTCAGCAGTCCTCCATCGTTAGCTCTATTATCTACTACATTTTTCTTCCTCCAACAGCTGGGTAACAGGAGCTTGGGCCTCCTAAGAAAAGCCGACTTAAGGTAGAGACCACCCCAGTGGAGTCTCGAAATTGTACCACAATTCGTAGCAGCCTCTACAACAAACAGAGCACGCAATCAGGACACTCCCAACAAAAAGTTTGTTTGAGGAGTGTCTAGGAGCCCAAGTCCAACAAGAAGGTCCAGCTCAAAAATGCAATAATAGTCTTCATCGGTGGAAGGCTCAAATAGTACAAACAAAATAGTTTACTGTCTTTTCATTTTTCCATTATATACCCATCCTGTAAATATGAATGGAAAAAACTGGAGATGGAAAGTTTGGGGATGGAGAGCAGAGGAAATTTCCTTTAAATGTAGATTAATTTTGTCATTTTATTTGAGTTAGTGATGCAAGATTATCCCATATTGTACTATTTTTGAAAATGAAAATCAACGTGTTTTGTTTCCAGCAGGCCTACATCAGACCTGCGGCTGCTGTGTTAACTTGAGAGCAGGAATTCTTTTTGTCATCTCAATATCAGTCTTACCCACAACAAATACTTACCGAGTGCAAGAGTGACTATGCTTGTCAAGAATTTTCTTTGTAGAGATGAAATTAAAATTCAAGGTCCTCATCCTGTCTCCCACATCCTCTTTATTTTTCAAAGCTTTCTGTAGCAATGTCCTGAAAAATAGCTTTTTTGCAAGTAAATTTCTAAACAGAATCCTATCCAATTTACTCTTGAGTAACTTGAAAAATAAAGAAAAATTGGCATGAAAGTTGATTGATCTTTTTTCATAAAAGTACTGGATGCCAGTGAAAAGGAAGCATTTTTTTAATGCATTGCCATTAATTTGACAGTGAAATTATATATTCTAAACTCAGTAATATGGCATATGAGGGTATCATTTAGTGGGGAATTGAATTTACTAAGAGGAACCCTGATATTTTGGATGAGTAAATTCATCTGACAGAAGTAAGCAGGCTTTTTATGCCTCAGAAAGCACATGAATAATTTTTTTTTCTAACAAACCAAACTTCATTTCAAAGGTCAAAAAAATTCCCTCAGCCCCAGGGCAAGACATTTAGAGGTAAGACCTTAACCGACATGTGGGATCCCGCAATTGCCCCACATTCAATGGGCCACTTTCTTCTCTTGTTCCACAGCCATGGCCTCTAGAGTGACCAGCACCTCAAATGAGCATCTGATTCACTCTAAGTTTCAGACAGGTGAATCTCCAGCAATGTCATCTTACAAATGGAGTGACTGAAATTGGATTAAATGACTTAGCCAAGGTAGAGGTGGGCAAACTGATGTTGGTTTCTTCCATTACATCATGATGCCTCTGAAGCAGGTAATAAAAACAAGCACTCTAAAATTCTGAAAAACAACTAGAAGAACTTTTGTGACCATTAGCATTTAAGAAATCTCCACTTACATACTACAGATTTATACAGTCATACATAAAGGGTGATTGATAGAATACAGCGACTATAACATATCCTTGAGAACAATAATCATTTTTAATAATTTTATAACAACTAGTAAGTATGACAATATTAAGCACCCTCTATATGTGTGCTGAGTGCTTTAGACACATTATCTCAATTTCAAATATCAAAATAACTTTGTGTTAGGTATAATTACTGATATTTTTAGAGGAAGAAACCGAAATTTAGAGAATTTTAGTGACTTATTCGAAGCTAACAAGTCTCAGTAATTGGTTGAGCCAAGATTTACATTGAGTTTTATCAGATTTGGACAGCCACGTTATGCCTGTATTAATCTATACCCTAAATTGTTATCTCCCACTAATTTTGCTAAAAATAATTTTGGATATCTACATTGGAAAAGTTTTAACATACCAAAATATGCACATGGTTAAAGAAAATCAAATGATGCAGAATGATTTAAAATGAAAAGTAACAGTCCTGCACCCCAACTTCACTTCTGTTCCTCAAAGGCAATTACTTCTTGCAAGTTTGGGTTGTTGGTTTTTCTGATGGTCACTTCCACATCTTTAAATAATAATATGCAAATACCACTTCTTGACTCATCAACTTTGGACAGGGTCTATTGACTGTCTACTCTGATAGATTAGGAGTTATGCCTCTCATCCCCTGTAATTAGTACATAGTGGGGTCACTATTCTGAGTTCCTCAAATGTCACCTCAATACCTCCATTTCTCATTCAATAAACACAAACCATGTTTCCCCACCTTTTGCAAAATGAAGACCCTAGAGCTTCCTCCCTTCTCTTGATGTCTCCAAACTCTCATCTCCTTTCTGTTCCCTGTACCTTTACTTTTACATTGTTGAGAATGATAACATATTTCATCAGCTCTGTGAACATTCCAACAGGAAAAGCCTGAATGATTATGATTAAGATCGATGCCATCTACTGGTGAAGCCACAAAATCTCACAATTAGGAAAAAAGAAAAAGGAATAAAAACATATATTAAGGACCTACTATGAATCAAGCATTAGAGGTACATTAACACATTTAAATATTAAGTATAATGTAAAAAAGTGTTTATGTTTGAATAATTTTGGAATATGCTGAGTTAATGATAACTCTCACACAAGTGCAGAATCTTTAATGTGATGATGTGCATTGCTGATCTCTTCAAGAGGATGTGTATCTTTATTTGGCAGACTTATTTGGCATTAAATCCACTTTTTATTAACAAGTCTTGGACCTAGGTAATTTTCAATGCAGTATATTAGGAAAACACAATTTTATCCTCCTCCTTTATAAATCTCTTGCTATCTTATATGTCAGCTTCTGGTATCAGGCTTATGCAGTTTTATAAAATTAACTAGAAAGCTATTTTGTTTTTAAAGTTCTGGAACAGATTTTATAGCATAGGAAGTATCTGTTCCTTTTACACTTGAAAGAATGTTTTTAGCCTTCTAAAGAAATAATACTTTGAAAAGTTTTGTTTGGTTATTGTAGCTTTTTAAAAAATATCTGCTTACTGATTCAACTTTGAAAATTTGTGTTTTTTTCTAGAAAAATCTTCCAGATTCTTTAAAGATTTTTTAATTTTGTAAAATTAGAGCAAGTAAGCTTATATTCTTTTCTCATTCCTAGTTTTATACTTGGGGTTTTTGTGTGTGTGTGTGTGAATTTTGCTTGACAGGGTCTTACTTTATTGAATTCTCAAAGAAATGGCTTTTGGATTCTGTTTCTCTGCTACCTAATTAACATTTATTTATTTTTAATTAATATTTATTTCTTACTTTCCTTCTGCTTTCTTTAGGCATGTTTAAAAAAATCTTTACCTAAATTCTTGATTTGTAGGTTTATAACAATATGCTCTAGCTTAGTAATGAAAACGTTAATATCTCTTAATGTAAAAATTTGTATATAATTAAAAGGTTTGCCATGCTGCCGTACCAAAGATGTTTCCTCAATTGTTTACAAATACATTCTGGATTTTCTATTTGATTCAAAATTCCTATTTGCTCTGAAAAGAAAATGATTTAAAATTTCTCTGTTTGGATATTTTAATTTAAATTTGTCTTTTATTTTTCAGATTAATCACATTTATAATTAGGGAATGTAGCCTATTCAATTTATCCTTTTGGAAATTTATTGAGGACATAAACCAAAGAAATTGATTTATGAATATTAAGTTCAGGTTTTGAAAATAAAGTATGTTCATTGATTATAAAAGACAATATTAAATAGATATTTACCAAAGCAAACCAATTAATTATACCATTCACATCTTTTGATACTTATTTTCTTTCCTGTTTTTTAAAGCTTGAGACTAATTGTATATCATAATCTTTCAACATAATTGAATGAGTTTTGTGAATTGCTTCCATTTTTTCCAAAAGTTTTCATTTATAGAACTTAATGTGTTTTATAGCTATTATGTCTTTATAATGTATAGACTTGATTTTTAAAAATTTGTTATCATAGTTAATAATTTTTTAATGTTATTATAATAATAATATTGCCACTTCTGTCATTATTGATTATGTTTACTTGATGTACTTTTGGCCCTGCCTTTATTTTTTTTTTTAATTTTTTGTGTTCTGTTTAAGGTTAGAAATTTATTAACAGTATAAAATTGGATTTTCTTTTTACTTTATCTAAAATTTTGTCTATTTGCAAATATATTTAATTGTCACACTTGATGTTTGGTTTTCCTTCTTTTATATTATTTATTCCATTTTGTTTTATGGTTCCTTCCTTGTATTTTCTGTTATCCTTCCAAATGCTATCTGTGCTATATTTTTGCTTTTAATTCCTACTAACAATATGGAAGTTATAGCCACTTCTTTAACAATGTGAAAAGTATTTTACAGTTGGTTATCCAAAAGTTATCCAAAAATTATAAAAATATGCATTAATACTATTTTTGTCTTCTTAAAAATGCAAAAAATCAAATAATAAATGCTTTCTATTGACTCTCCTTGTGTAAGGTTAAGCATTTAAAATGTTAAATTTAGGGGCGCCTGGGTGGCTCAGATGGTTAAGCATCTGCCTTTGTCCTGGGATCGAGCCCCACAGCAATCCCCACAGCAAGCCCCATATCAAGCCCCACATCAAGCTCCCAGCTCAGCGGGGAGTCTGCTTTTCTGTCTCCCCTGCTTATGCTCGCTCTCTCTCTTTCTCATATAAACAAATCTTTTAAAAATAAAATAAATAAAATGTTAAATTTAAAAGACTTAAATTTTATTTTAAAAAGATTTAAATTTAAGACCTGAAATCATAAAACATAGGAGGTAAGCTTCTTGACACTAATCTGGGCAGTGATTTTTTGCATTTGACACCAAAAGCAAAGGCAAGTAAAGCAAAAAATAAGCAAGTGAGATGACATCAAACTGGAAAGCTTCTGCACAGCAAATGAAACCCACAACAAAATGAAAAGGCAACCTACAAAATGGGAGAAAATATTTGTAAATAATATACCTAGTAAGGGGTTAATAGTCAAAATATATGAAGAATTCATATACTCAACAGCAACAAAATAAACAATCCAATTAAAAAATGGTCAGAAGAACTGAGTAGACATTTTTCCAAAGAAGACATGCAGATTTCCAACAAGCAAATGAAAAGGTGTTCAATATCACTAATCATCAGGAAAATGAAAATCAAAACCAAATGAGATATCACTTCACACTTGTTAGAATGGATATCATCAAAAGACAAGAGGTAACAGGCATAACAGGAATGTGTAGAAAAGGAAACCCTTGTGAACTATTGGTGAGAATATAAATTCATGGAGCCACGACAGAAAACAGTATGGAAGTTCCTCAAGAATTTAAAAATACAACTATGCTCCAGTAATTCCACTTCTAGGTATATGTTCGAAGGAGACGAAAACAGGATATTGAAAAGATATCTGCACTTCCATGTTCATGTTCGTCACAGCATTATTCATACAGACAATATTTAGAAATAACCCAAATGTCCATCATTGGATGAATGGGTAAAGAAGATGTATATATCTACTATATGATGGAATACAATTCTGCCATGAGAAAGAAGGAAATCCTGCCATTTGTGACACCATGGATGGACTTTAAGGGCATTATGCTAAGTGAAATAAGCCAGATAGAGAAAGACCAATACTACATGGTATCACTTACATGTGAAATCCGCCCCCCCAAAAAATTCACAGAATCAGAGAACAGAAGAGTGGTTGCCAGGGGCTAGAGGGTGGATGAGATAGGAAGAGGTTGATAAAAGGGTACGGACTTTAAGCTATAAGATGAATAAGATCTGAGGAGCTTATAAACATGGTGACTATCATTGGTAACACTGTATTGTATAATTGAAATTGCGAAGACAGTAGCACTTAAATGTTCTCACACACAAAAGTGAGGTTATGGATGTGTTAATTATCTAAACGGGGGATTCTTTCACAGTATATATTTATATCTAATAATCACCATTATGTATACTTTGGATATCTTACTATTTTATATGTCAATTTTACCTCAATAGAGCTACAGTTTGACTTTAAAAATAAAACTACAC